AGGAGCCCTTCTGAGGATTCATGGCTTCCTATGGATCTTTACCCACCCTCCTATCAGATCTACCTTTACATGTCAGCTTGCAGCTCTGCTTGAATTTGTCTTTTTCCTCGGTTGTCTGGGAAGCTGAATCTGCAGCTGACAGGGTGTATAATTCTTTACACCAAAAATAAACCTCCCATTCGAGCAGCTATTCCTCTCCTGATACCAGCATCCACTGGAAATCTGGTAATCACTCAAGTTCTGATCTGAAAGCTGTAGGAAAGGCTTTTCTTGACCATCAGTGAATTTGGGTCAGGGCTTTTCCAGGGAAGGAGGCTCTGTGCTGGTCACAGTGCRTGCAGAGCCCGCAGGCAGGCTGTGTCATGGATGCACCGCTCACATGAGCAATGGTAATTCCAGTGTTTTCTGCAGCTTATTGCCATTGTGACCCGCCTTGCTGAGGTGAGAGCTTCCTCGCATTCCTCACGTCATTTGTCAGCATGACCTCAGGCTGATCCGTCTGTGCGGAGGCGGCAATTAAGGCATAAATAAGGGAACTTTCTCAGCACGGTGTCCGCACCATGCGGCCAGGTAGGGCTTGCCCTGTCCCCACATCCCTCCACGACAGTCTCGGGCTGTTTGCTCACTCAGGGTGGGCTGTGCTGTGTGTAAAAACCAGTCARAACTCTGGGTGGATTCCTGTTGCTATTTGTTGCACACCAGGCAATGCCGTTGCTTTTCATGGGAATGCGTTTTTTCTCCTCATTAAGGGAGATAATGAGTGATAAAACCGGAAGGCTGGATTTTACTTTTCTGGAGGAGTTAGAAATGACCATTTCTGCTGTGCAGGATGAAGGTACTTGTGCCATGGGAACAGAAGGTGCAAGGCAATGGCCATCACCATGAACGTTTCAGTCCAAAGCTCAGATGGGAGAAATGGGGCAGATCATAGAGTCATGGAATTGGGTTGAAAAGGGCCTTAAAGATTATTTAATTTCAACCCCTTTGTCCTTTGGGCAAGGACACTATCCACTAGACCAGGTTGCTCCAAGCCCCACTCCACCCTGGGCTTGAACAGTTCTGGGATGGGACAGCCACAGCCACCCKTCCTTTCTGCTCACTGTCACCCACAGTCAGTGGTTAGCGATTCCAGAGACTGGGGCATTTGTGACCTTAACCTCATTCAAGAGCCATTGTTTTCCTTCCTGATCAGAATCCCAGTTTTGGTAAGGACAAAGCTGCTTGTCCCTGAGGGTGTAAGTCTGACCTTTTTATTCACCAATTCTCAGATGAACAGTAAAATACACGGAAAAATCCTTAATCCATCTCAGATCCCTTGCAGGAGGGCAGGAGGTGAAAGCAGTAGTGTGCGGAGAGCACTGACGTGTTAAATCTCTTAGCTCAGCAAAGGTGACACACGTTTCTGCCAGTCAAGTGAAGTAGATGCAGGGTGAATGAAATTCTGGTTTTTCACACTGGTGTTCTCCAGAAGCCAGGCTCTACACCAGGATGGGTGAAGGTGGGGACAGGCATTGAACGTGAATGCACACACCCCATAAATTAATTATTCTTTTTTTCCCACTGTATTTGCATTTGGGAATATCATGCAGAATTTCAAGAGAGAGGAACAGATTTTACATTTAGGATGAAATACCTGAATTTCTTCTAACTAATGCTTAATGAGCATGTGCTCTGGAGCATTAGCACTGTGGAGTGATCCCCCAGGAAGTATGGCCAGTCATGTGGTTGGACTCGGGTCCTGAAGTGCCAGCAAGGAGCACATAAATGCCAGTTAGAGATTAGAGTAGCAACYCCCTTCTTTGTAAGTGCAGGATAATGGCTTTGTCCAGGTTCCTCAGACTTTCTCCCTGCAGAGGTGAACTCTGTCTGGTTCTTGTATTYAGGATCTCTTCAGAACCAGGAAAGCCATGGTGGAGATCACTGTGGTTCAGACCTCATGCTGAAGCACTCCTCGGCTTCTGTTGACCAGAAGCTAGCAAGCATGGCAAGCAACATGTGTAGTTTCGTGTCACACATTGCACTGCATCCAAAAGTAGTTTAAAGCCCCTTCAGCCTCACCCCACTGCCTGTTCAGATGATGCTCAACTAAGTGTTGGCTAGAAAACTGCAAAATTACCCAAATTTACAAAAAAATACACTTTTCAGAGGGTTGTGTCTGTGCCCTTGTGTTAGGAGTGATTTGGGAGGTGCTGTGCGTGTTCTGTTTGGCCCAGCTCATTTCCCAGACCATCTGCAGGGCTTCTTACAGGAGTGGGATTGAAGTGCCCCACACTCACCTGCCATGAGGGTCAGAGGGTCCAGATGGCTGTTTTGTTCCACCAGGGCCCCCATGAATTAGTAGGCAGCTGATCTCTCTGGTGCTCAGACAAGCCCAATCCTTCTTACTGATCCCTGTGGGAAGAACAGGGAGGGGAGTCTGCTACTTCCCCTGCCCTTCCTTTTTGGGGTGTTCCCTGCCAAGCAAGCCATGAGGAAAGCTAGCTGGCTGTTGTGTACAGCCTCCCCTGCAAAGGCATCTTGAAGGGACTGACAATGCACAGAGCAAGCCTGGTGGCTTGGCTGAAGGCTAGATCTTCTGAAAATAAATAAAAATAAAAATAACCCACAAAAGATTATGGACACCAACGTTTAAAACTAGAGTGGATTTGGTGTGCAAATACTCTTTGGTGTGTAAAACCTGGCAGGAGACCTATTCAGCATCACCTTAGGCCAGGATAAGCAGGATGCCCACGTACCAGGTAGTTCTAATGCTGCGAACCASGATAACCATGGAAAAGATCTTGGCTTCAGCAGCAGAAGGAAAAAAACTGAAGGAGTGTTTCTGAGACCTGAMCTTGTGGCTTTAGCCCAGCTCGTGGGAGTAGATGTCCCATGATTGGTTTTTGCAATGTGACACCCAGTGGGGCCAGCTCACCTAGGTCACTTGTCTRATGAGCATAAAATTTATGCCTGGGATACTTAGGAGTTCCCTTGTTGGGTGAGGTCTCTGTTTTTCAGAGAGGAAAATGGAGTAAAGGCACTGCTAGGTGACTTGTCCATAGCAGACATCCTTCAGCGAGGGAGCTCCAGCTGCAATCTGACTGTCCATCCTGGTGTCCAGCACTGACCCCATGATCATCACGCTACAGAGCACTGAAGAACCTCCCCCAGTGCCTGCTCTGAGCCAGGCTAAGATTTCACTGATTATTCCCAGTGGAGCAGACTCTTCAGTATCCCTAGGCAGTCTGCCTCAGGGATCGCTGCTTGGCAGGGTTAGGAAGTTATTTTCAATCCATGTGAATTAAAGAGAAGAGTAAAAATTTAATGTGCGACAGATAAGGTTCGATCTTGGAATTAGGAGTGCCTTGCAGCCTTTCAGTTATTAAAGTGTGCACGTGATTTCCTGCCAGTCACCTACCTTCTAGGAAAAGCAAAATTAATTCATTAAATATGGCCCATGGCCAGAGTTTGTCTAGCAAGTGTTTCCTAATGAACAGTGATGTCCTGGCTGCTCTTAGGACACCACTTCCTTTTGCAGGCAATGCAGATGGTTTGAGGATCGTGTCGATGGTTTTAGCAGATGGATGTTTTCATTAAGGTGGTTGAAGGCACTTGAGTGGCAAATGCCTACAAATTGCAGAGGGGTGGTTATCTCATTCAAATATGTGGTCTGTAGAAAATGTAGAGGTGGTACAGGCAGCCTGCTGAGGAAAAGGAAAAGGAGAATAATTGGAAATTCTGTTGAGACTTTAGAGTGTCTGCAGGAGCTAATAGAGATAAATCCTGWCTTTCTAGCTAGGATGGGAACATCTGTGTTTCCAACTGCACCTGAGAGGCTACAGAAAATTCAGCCAGCAGGATCAGCACCAAAGGCCAAGTTCCTACCTTGCTGAATGGGATGCAAACAGTTGCTGCTGGTGGGGAAGAGATRTCACTTTCCTTGTCATGAGGAAAGTGTGTAGGGACTCTGGCATGGGACATTATTGTATCCTTTTTTTCTGTGAGACTGAGTCTGTCTCTTTGCAACACCCCACCTGGAGATGATTCAGGGRAGGATGGAAAAACRATTCCCTCCCATTTTCCCAAGAAATGTTTGCCTTTTAGTGGGGAAAACATAAAAATGAAAAWTATGGCTAAAACTTGAAACAAAATGTATAGGATTTTGTGATGAGTCTGGATCACTTTGTCACTGAATGGAAATGTCTTGTGTGCTGCAAGATCATCCTTCATCAGCCTTCATGTCCAGTGTCCTGTGGGARTTGTGTCTGTGAGATCGAGTGCCTTTTCCCCTACTTTTCAAGGCATGAGTATTTTTACTATGCTGGAAAACATTCCACACCATAAATACAACAACTATTGATTGCCATGCCACTAGGATGACATTTTTCTCTCTTGCAAACCCAACACATTTAATTTTGGGAGCGCTGTGAAATGGCATCAGAGCAGCAAGCACAAACTCAGGAGCAGCATGGGATTTCCCCATGTAAATCCCACACAATTTGCACAACAGCAGGAGCAGAAAAATTCTCCATCCAACMCAGGTCTTAGTTTCAGGCTGTGCTKSGGKACTTGATATKTTCTTWCCTCTCTTGAAAGCAGTTTTGATGGAAAGATGAAAATCCATCCAGCCTTGTGGTGTGTTAAGGACAGTACTCCCCATCTCCATGGGCTTTAATTCGTACCACGGGATCCAAAGAYACATGTAATAAATAAATCAGTATCAGTGTGTTTGCTGGGCTAATCCTTGGATAACTTTCTAGGACTCAGTTTACAAAATATTACTTGCATAAGCGACCTCCAGTCCCAGTCTCATTCACCACGGTGCCAGCATTAATCTGGATGTATTTAGGGGATTGTCTCTCACTGTCTGGAATTAATATTACGAAAGCATTGGGAGTTTCAGTGCTACTAGCCCTCTTCCACACCTAGGGCTGTGGAAATACTGTAGGGTTGGGACAGTTCCCGAGCTGGGTCTCTTGAGTCGGGGGAGAGTCATTAATTGCTGATTTCTTTTGCTTTAGGTCCATTCCTGGTGATTGCTGATGTGTTTATACAGGAACCATGGTCATTCTACGACAGGTAAGTGAATCATTCCTGTCTCCAGCTTCKCTAGTTTTACTCCATCACCACAGGCACTAATAAAAATTTGGTTTTGGAGGGGAAGGGTCAAGTCAKGTTATTTTTGTCCTATCTTATTTCCCTAAAAGGACTGTTACAAGATGCAGAGATACTCATTAGCCTTAATCCTTGATTGGCTTAGAGGAAATCATTGCTCTGTGTGTGTAGTCCAGATTAACCTCACACAATGTTCCACTTCTATTTTCTCATCTGGGATGGTCCAAAAGCTGCACATGAATGCTGGACATGTGGGGTAAAACAACTGACTGCCTGACTTAAAATAGGATCTGGTCAAAAACTGATTTTCAATTTCCAGGAACCGTCCTGTTTTGGTTGTATARAAATGTATTCCTTTTGAACATTTAAAAGAAATTGAGGGATGGAGCACCTCTGATGTGAAGTCTGAGAGAATTGGGATTTCGGAGAAGGAGAAGAGAAGGTTCCATGGAGACCTTAAATCACCTTGCAGTACCTAAAGGGAGCTTGTAAAAAAGGAGAGCAACTTTCAGCTTAACATGCAGTGATGAGACTGGGGAATTGCTTTAAAACTAAGAGAGGACAGGTTTAGATTAGATATTAGGAAGAAATTCTTACTGTGAGAGTAGAGAGGTGCTGGCACAGGTTGCCCAGAGCAGCTGTGGATGCCTCATTCCTGGAAGTGTTCAAGGCCAGGTTGGATGGGGCTTGGAGCAACCTGGTGTAGTGGAAGGTATCCCTGCACTGGTAGGGGGCTTGGAACAAGATAATCCTTAAGGTCCCTTCCAATCCAAACCATTCTAGGATTCYATGAACTGAAGAATTAAGCTGTGTAGCAGGTCTCATGTAGATTCTGCAATAATTTAGGGCTTCAGACTGTAGTGTTTTCCCTTTGTCTAGGCATAACATGTCTCACTCTCAGCTCCCCATTGCCATGTCTCACCTGGGCAGGACGGACAGTCCCACCACACGTCCTGGGTTGGGGCTGCAGGTTGAGACTCAAGTGTATTTGTCAGCACAGTCAAACAATGCAATGGAGCAAATCTACCGAACAATTTTGATTGAAGTCTGTGTCTTGCTTGGTAAATATGCTTTTGTCTGCAACTGKGCAGAAAGCATTAGACCTTTGAAGGAACTCACATGTTTTTAGTTTGTAACGTCACACAAAGAGCTGAGGATGGCTTTGAGTGGAAGGAATGCCAGAGTTCTTGTGGAGCAACTGAAATGTTTTTTATAGTTTTTCCCCACCCTGCCAGARCATGAGCCAAACAAAACCAGGCTGMACTTTGGTAGGKGTGTGTAGAATMTCGGTCCTCCTTYCAAGGGCTCCAAGGGGGTGGTCCCGTGCACAAACTGCCTRATGCAGTTTGCAATGCCAAGGAAAATGGGTGTGGAAATTAATTAGGTTAAAAGATCAGAATAGCAGTTGAGAARCACCCTGTGGCAATTCTGTCTAGGATGGTATCACTTCAGTCTGCCTGTGACATCTCTCTGCTGGGGGATACCCCTCTCTGGTTCGGCTGCTGGTTCATAATCCTCTGTACCAGCCTGAATTCACCCTCTGTAGAGCTTTAATCAAATAGACTGATCAAATAGATTCCTTGTTACCTAAAATCAAGGTGTCTTGTCTAGGTAAGGAGGCAGTGTGTTTCTGAATCAATTCTGGGCATTCTACGTGCGCATTCAGATGCCAAGCATTTGCTGACAAATATCAGGGAAATAGGTTTGTGTTGAAATTGTTGCTTACTGGAAATATCTCTCTGCAGCATGGATAAGGTGAGCAAGGACCCCTCCATAATGAAAAAAGGTTACCCAGTTGTTAGCAGGTACAGGCCCTTTCTGAAGTCACTTTATACCAGTTTGCCCCATCTAAAGGTCCTTTCTGATCACAGTAGAAACACTTTGTTCTCTGTGGCCCAAAAGAAACACACACTCTCTGTGTTTACGTGGTGCTTAATTGCAAAGAGCAGCAATATTTGTATTTTGCCTTCTTCAGTTTTGCTCTAAGATTTTGGAAATACATGTATGCTGTTCAGGATGTGTACTACTTTCCAAGGAGCTTTCTCTCTGTCTTTTTTTTTTTTTTCTCATTCTTGAATGTGCACAAGATGCTTACAGTCCTGCCATCCTACGCCTCTTCCCATGAAAGCTATGTCCAACAAGGTCAAACAAAACACCAGATCATCACCAGGGATACATGAGCACAGGGATTTTGGCCCTTACTGCTTGGTTTCTCTGTCCTTAACCAGTTATAAATCCATAAATTTTGAAGATGAGCCATTCTCCCATCAAAACAATTCATACCAGGATCTCCTTTAGRGAGAACTGAGCACCAAGTGCAGTGCACAGCTCCAGCGAGGAGGAGAAAGCATGCAGAACTTTCTGCCTGCCCTGTGCCTTCCACCCAGTAATCCAAAAGAAAAGCCAATATTGTTCTCCAGCAGGGCCTTGCAGAGAGCCAAACTTATCAGCTTTAGTCACTGGCAAATTACTAGTGGCAAGTCCRTTTTCATGCACAAAGAAAGGGAAGATGGAAAAGGAGGGCTCCCTGAATTCCTGCCTTGGCAGYCTGACAAGTGTGTTTGGCTCCACAGCACAGCAGCAGCTCATTTGTGCATGTTCTGTCTGTTACTTAAAGCAGAGACATTTTTGGAGCCGGAGTGGAGATGGGGAGGGTGTGGTGGTCCTGCCCACAGCTGACCACACAGCTTGGCCAGCAAAAGGGTTTTCATGCTGGCAAATGGCAACAGACTGCTGCTTGCTGCGTGGGTTTTTTTTGCCAGATCCATCTTCTCACTCTTATAGGCAACCCTCATATAACCCAGTCTTAAATCCAAGGTTGCTGGGCCAGCCCAACAGAAATCAAACCCACTCATCTGCTGGGGAATAAAATGTGCTGCAAAATTTCAGTATTTCATGGAGGACTGTGTTCAGCATSAGGAGCTGGWCTGGATGATCCTTATGCATCCTTTCCAACCCTGGATATTCTGTGATCCTGCAAATCTCATCCATTGAGTAGACTYTTCAGATCACTGTATCTGTGTTACTGTGGTCGCCTGACCGTGTCCAGACCATGGTGCTGTTGCAGGTTTCTCCTATTCTTAGTGTCCCCCCAGCCTGCTCCTGCAGTTTTTTAGGGAGAGAAGTAGAAATAAGAGTTAAAAGAAACAGTGGAGGCCTAATCCAAGCAGATAAAGGAAACCAAAGTTCAGGCAGACATTAAGGTCCTGAGGGATCAAGCACAGTGGATGCCTCGCACTGTAAAGCTCTTTTTAGTTCAACAACAAACCAAGGAAGGTGTTCCAACTATTTTGCAACATTTCAGGAGCCAAGGCTTGATCAGAGATTTCAACTCTGCTCTCCTGGCKTGGCAGAGCTGCCGGGGAGGTGGCTTTTGGGGGCAATGCAGAATCTCAGTTTCCTTGCCGCTGTTGACTCTGCTGTAACACCTCTGGCATTTCCTTGGATGGAAAGTCCCCAGAGCAGCTTCAGCTATAAACTTCACAAGGCCCACATGAACGGACGGTCCTTGACATCTTCATGTCTCTGTTTTCTCAGGATATTTGTAGCTTCCTGCTCTTGCACCAGGACAGGCCATTAGACAAAATTGTCCTTTCTCCTTSTTGCCATTTCTCAGTGTTTGTGTGCAGAGTGATACCCTTGGAACTGACCAAAATCCTACAAAACCTTTCTTTTCCCCTCCTGTGAAACAAGCTCTTCAGTCTTCTTGTGACAGCAGCAGCCCTTTCTTCACCTTTCCAGCTTATTTTTGCCTTGTTAAGACCAGAATTGCACATTGCAATGCAGGTGAAGGGGATTGGTTCAGTTTGTAAATGAGCAGAAATAGATTTTGTGACTGCCAGTGTTTACAGAGTCTCAGTTTGATGCTCCAGGAGGTGTTTTCCCATGCTGGGGTTAAGAATAGCAGAGACCAGGTTTTGAAATCTTTCAGTCCATTCCCAGTGGGCCCTGGCTTTACCTGGTTCTGACTGTTTTGAGCACACATTCAGCTTTCCCAAGTGATTCATTGTGCTATATATTTTGTTAGCAAGGAGCAAGGGTGGGAGAGAAAAACAACGTTATTGTAGGTCTTCTTGGGGCTCATCTGTAACCATGTTTTTATAAAAAGCAAGATGTAACTCTGCTGTTTGGATTCTCTTTCTCATAAACACTGAATAATTTAAGTTTTCTCCCATTTATGCCTTGTATCTGTCTGATCTATGCGTCTGAGGCTTCCCTGGATAGCTGTAATGCAGCAGTGAAAAGTCCAGCACAGCCAACCAAAGGGCACATTTGCATATAGATTGAAACATGAATCGTTGGGAGCCATTCATTAGTTGCAGTGCTCAAGACATTTGGCATTTTAACAGCTCTTTGCATCAAATCCTTTCCATCACATTTATGGGACAATTAAAGTGCTGGGGTTGCTGTGTGCAGAAAATGAAGCTGCAGGCTGGGGAGATGCTCTTGCAGTGCTGTGGCTGTGGAATATGAATCGTGTGATGTCAAACAAAGGTAGAGCAAGCAATCTCAGCCTCGGTGTGGAGATACCCTCTGAGAGAGCCTGTCTGAAATGAACGCATTCCTGCTTCTTGGTTCCTCACACAAACCCCAGGATCCATCTTCCCTGAAGTGTGCGCACTGAAAACTTCATCTATTTGAATTCAAGACAGAGAAGGCTTGGAGTGAGAGTTGCTGTATGTGTGGCTGAGTTTAGTATTTCCTTTTTAAGGGGCAGTAACAAAATACTCAGCCAACAGGACATTCATTTGAGGGTGCAGGAGACTTCAAAGRACTCAATAACAAATTTTACCTTGAYTTCATCTTGGGGTCMCATGTTTCCCCAGGGAGWRCTCTGGCAGAGCAGCTCATATATCATCTTGTCTTTCTTGATGGCAACTTCTCCATGTCTGTCAGAGCCCTTAAAGATGCATTTCACTTGCTGAGACCWGTCATCAGGAGCAAGATGAGAGAAATTCAGCTCC